ACAGGTACAACATCACAGACTGTACACAGGTACACGTGTACACAGGTACAACATCACAGACTGTACACAGGTACACGTGTACACAGGTACAACATCACATACTGTACACAGGTACACGTGTACACAGGTACATCACATACTGTACACAGGTACAACATCACAGACTGTACACAGGTACACGTGTACACAGGTACAACATAACATACTGTACACAGGTACAACATCACATACTGTACACAGGTACACGTGTACACAGGTACAACATCACATACTGTACACAGGTACAACATCACATACTGTACACAGGTACAACATCACAGACTGTTCACAGGTACACGTGTACACAGGTACAACATCACAGACTGTACACAGGTACACGTGTACACAGGTACAACATCACATACTGTACACAGGTACAACATCACAGACTGTTCACAGGTACACGTGTACACAGGTACAACATCACATACTGTACACAGGTACAACATCACATACTGTACACGTGTACACAGGTACAACATCACATACTGTACACAGGTACAACATCACATACTGTACACGTGTACAACATCACATACTGTACACGTGTACACAGGTACAACATCACATACTGTACACGTGTACACAGGTACAACATCACATACTGTACACAGGTACAACATCACATACTGTACACGTGTACAACATCACATACTGTACACGTGTACACAGGTACAACATCACATACTGTACACAGGTACAACATCACATACTGTACACGTGTACACAGGTACAACATCACATACTGTACACAGGTACAACATCACATACTGTACACAGGTACACGTGTACACAGGTACAACATCACATACTGTACACAGGTACAACATCACATACTGTACACAGGTACACGTGTACACAGGTACAACATCACATACTGTACACAGGTACAACATCACATACTGTACACAGGTACACGTGTACACAGGTACAACATCACATACTGTACACAGGTACAACATCACAGACTGTACACAGATACACGTGTACACAGGTACAACATCACATACTGTACACAGGTACAACATCACAGACTGTACACAGATACACGTGTACACAGGTACAACATCACATACTGTACACAGATACACGTGTACACAGGTACAACATCACCAGGGCTTAAAGTTTTCCGGCACCGTGCCGGAAATCCGGCGTGAGAAAAAAAAAAAAAAAAACATCACATTTTTTTTTATTTTTTTTTTTCATATATATATAAATAAATAATGATTGCTGTCATTTGAAAAAGGTTCAAGTGTGTTCTACCAATTGTATGAAAGGATTGCATGTGTATAGCGCAGGGATTAAAGAGTTCCGTCTAAGTGACGGATTTCCGTCAAATGAAATTGGTCTGAAAAAAATATATATATATATATAATAATAATATAATACACACAATGAAATGGTTAATTATAACAAAATATATAGTAATACGTGTGAATCTGTTGTATATATCTAGATATATATTAATAATTTGAATATAATTGTATTTATATGTATATAGAAATAAAAAGTAATATAATCACGAGTGGGCCTTGAACGTGCCGTGGCTAGCTACATGAGCGCTCCGTAAATGATTCGAGGCAATGGGACGTAGCCAAGTTAGCGATGGTAACACGGAGGTGAAAGTTTTTGAAAAGTGCACGGAGCTTTTGAAAAGGAGAAGAGGACAAGGAAAATGTAATCCCGAACGGAGCAATAACAGCCAGCAGCCCGCGGACCGGTAAACTGGGCGCGTTATCAGAGGAAAGGTAGGACATAATTAACGTTTACCAAACGCAATGCTTTTTTATTTAACGGAATGTACAATACGTACTTTGCTGTGACTGGGAATGGGGACAAGCATGTCTTGGTGAGCTTTTGATAATATCTTGGTGGCGATCCCCATGCAAAACTCTGCTCCTTTTTCTTAAACATTGAGTGTCCACAAACAAATGTGGACAGAATTTTGAATGTCCTTTTGCGATATTTTGACGAGGACAGAGCCAAAGGACAACGCCTCATCTCGCCTCAAGTAAAGCCAATGATGCAGATGAACTACTCTCACTAATATTCTGTCAAAGAGTTGACAAGTTGCTTGATCCACTGGTTGTAATTTCACATCAAAATACACCAGTTTAAATTTATATCTTTGAAGAATTCGTTTGATCTGTAATTCATTATATTTCCATGAGAAAATTTTCAGTCAAATCTTTTTTTTTTGCTTTAACCCCTGGCCGCTTATAAAAAACGCTTATTAGTGATCATTCTATGATTCATATAGATGGTTCAGGCTCAGGAATTTTTTCAACTTTAACCCATGCATCACATACTGTACACAGGTACAACATCACATACTGTACACAGGTACAACATCACATACTGTACACAGGTACAACATCACATACTGTACACAGGTACAACATCACATACTGTACACAGGTACACAGGTACAACATCACATACTGTACACAGGTACAACATCACATACTGTACACAGGTACACAGGTACAACATCACATACTGTACACGTGTACACAGGTACAACATCACATACTGTACACGTGTACACAGGTACAACATCACATACTGTACACGTGTACACAGGTACAACATCACATACTGTACACAGGTACAACATCACATACTGTACACAGGTACAACATCACATACTGTACACGTGTACACAGGTACAACATCACATACTGTACACGTGTACACAGGTACAAACATCACATACTGTACACAGGTACAACATCACATACTGTACACAGGTACAACATCACATACTGTACACGTGTACACAGGTACAACATCACATACTGTACACGTGTACACAGGTACAACATCACATACTGTACACAGGTACAACATCACATACTGTACACAGGTACAACATCACATACTGTACACAGGTACACAGGTACAACATCACATACTGTACACGTGTACACAGGTACAACATCACATACTGTACACAGGTACAACATCACATACTGTACACAGGTACAACATCACATACTGTACACGTGTACACAGGTACAACATCACATACTGTACACAGGTACAACATCACATACTGTACACAGGTACAACATCACATACTGTACACAGGTACACAGGTACAACATCACATACTGTACACGTGTACACAGGTACAACATCACATACTGTACACGTGTACACAGGTACAACATCACATACTGTACACGTGTACACAGGTACAACATCACATACTGTACACAGGTACAACATCACATACTGTACACAGGTACAACATCACATACTGTACACGTGTACACAGGTACAACATCACATACTGTACACGTGTACACAGGTACAACATCACATACTGTACACGTGTACACAGGTACAACATCACATACTGTACACGTGTACACAGGTACAACATCACATACTGTACACGTGTACACAGGTACAACATCACATACTGTACACGTGTACAACATCACATACTGTACACAGGTACAACATCACATACTGTACACAGGTACCTATGGATGTCAAACAAAGCTCACCTCGTCCATGTCTGACCTTAAAGCTGACCTTAGAGCTCACCTCATCCATGTCTGACTTTAGAGCTGACCTTAGAGCTGACCTTAGAGCTGAGTTAGAGCTGACCTTAGAGCTCACCTCGTCCATGACTGACTTTAGAGCTGACCTTAGAGCTGACCTTAGAGCTCACCTCGTCCATGTCTGACTTTAGAGCTGACCTTAGAGCTGAGTTGGAGCTGACCTTAGAGCTGACCTTGTCCATGTCTGACTTTAGAGCTGACCTTAGAGCTGACCTTAGAGCTGACCTTAGAGCTGACCTTAGAGCTAACCTTAGAGCTGACCTTAGAGCTGAGTTAGAGCTCACCTCGTCCATGTCCATGCCGAACCCGGCCGGAGTGGAGATGGCAGTGGAAATCTCGGTGGCGAGTTCCTGCTGCTCAGCGATGTCATCCATCAGGTCATGGACGTCATCTACGTTCCTGAAATCACACACAAGTCATGTGTGTGTGTTTGTGTGTGTGTGTGTGTTTGCATGTGTGTGTGTGAGTGTGTCTGTCTGCATGTGTGTGTGTGTGTTACTTACATGCTGTTGTGTGCCTCCTTCAGGGCCTTAGCAGCGTAGCCCATGTTCTTCAGCACCTCTGTGTGTGTGCATGTGTGTGTGTGTGTGTGTGTGTGTGTGTTACTTACATGCTGTTGTGTGCCTCCTTCAGGGCCTTAGCAGCGTAGCCCATGTTCTTCAGCACCTCTGTGTGTGTGCATGTGTGTGTGTGTTACTTACATGCTGTTGTGTGCCTCCTTCAGGGCCTTAACAGCGTAGCCCATGTTCTTCAGCACCTCTGTGTGTGTGTGTGTGTGTGTGTGTGTGTGTGTGTGTGTGTGTGTGTGTGTGTGTGTGTGTGTGTGTGTGTGTGTGTGTGGTGTGTGTGTGTGTGTGTGTGTGTGTGTGTGTGTGTGTGTGTGTGTGTGTGTGTGTGTGTGTGTGTGTGTGTGTGTGTGTGTGTGTGTGTGTGTGTGTGTGTGTGTGTGTGTTACTTACATGCTGTTGTGTGCCTCCTTCAGGGCCTTAGCAGCGTAGCCCATGTTCTTCAGCACCTCTGTGTGTGTGCATGTGTGTGTGTGTTACTTACATGCTGTTGTGTGCCTCCTTCAGGGCCTTAACAGCGTAGCCCATGTTCTTCAGCACCTCTGTGTGTGTGTGTGTGTGTGTGTGTGTGTGTGTGTGTGTGTGTGTGTGTGTGTGTGTGTGTGTGTGTGTGTGTGTGTGTGTGTGTGTGTGTGTGTTACTTACATGCTGTTGTGTGCCTCCTTCAGGGCCTTAGCAGCGTAGCCCATGTTCTTCAGCACCTCTGTGTTGGTGTTAGCGTTCTCTAAAGCTTCTCTCTGGAACTCGATCGTGGACAGAGTTCCATCGATCTGCTCCAACTGTTTCTCCAAACGCTTTTTCCTCTTCAGAGCCATGAGCGCCGCTGCAAACACACAGTTACTGACTCTCCCACAGCAGATCAGAAACACAGTTACTGACTCTCCCACAGCAGATCAGAAACACAGTTACTGACTCTCCCACAGCAGATCAGAAACACAGTTACTGACTCTACCACAGCAGATCAGAAACACACAGTTACTGACTCTCCCACAGCTGATCAGAAACACAGTTACTGACTCTCCCACAGCAGATCAGAAACACAGTTACTGACTCTCCCACAGCAGATCAGAAACACAGTTACTGACTCTCCCACAGCAGATCAGAAACACAGTTACTGACTCTCCCACAGCAGATCAGAAACACAGTTACTGACTCTCCTACAGCAGATCAGAAACACAGTTACTGACTCTCCCACAGCAGATCAGAAACACACAGTTACTGACTCTCCCACAGCAGATCAGAAACACAGTTACTGACTCTCCCACAGCAGATCAGAAACACACAGTTACTGACTCTCCCACAGCAGATCAGAAACACAGTTACTGACTCTCCCACAGCAGATCAGAAACACAGTTACTGACTCTCCCACAGCAGATCAGAAACACAGTTACTGACTCTTCCCACAGCAGATCAGAAACACACAGTTACTGACTCTCCCACAGCAGATCAGAAACACAGTTACTGACTCTCCCACAGCAGATCAGAAACACACAGTTACTGACTCTCCCACAGCAGATCAGAAACACACAGTTACTGACTCTCCCACAGCAGATCAGAAACACACAGTTACTGACTCTCCCACAGCAGATCAGAAACACACAGTTACTGACTCTCCCACAGCAGATCAGAAACACAGTTACTGACTCTCCCACAGCAGATCAGAAACACAGTTACTGACTCTCCCACAGCAGATCAGAAACACAGTTACTGACTCTCCCACAGCAGATCAGAAACACAGTTACTGACTCTCCCACAGCAGATCAGAAACACAGTTACTGACTCTCCCACAGCTGATCAGAAACACACAGTTACTGACTCTCCCACAGCAGATCAGAAACACAGTTACTGACTCTCCCACAGCAGATCAGAAACACAGTTACTGACTCTCCCACAGCAGATCAGAAACACAGTTACTGACTCTCCCACAGCAGATCAGAAACACACAGTTACTGACTCTCCCACAGCTGATCAGAAACACAGTTACTGACTCTCCCACAGCAGATCAGAAACACAGTTACTGACTCTCCCACAGCAGATCAGAAACACAGTTACTGACTCTCCCACAGCAGATCAGAAACACACAGTTACTGACTCTCCCACAGCAGATCAGAAACACAGTTACTGACTCTCCCACAGCTGATCAGAAACACACAGTTACTGACTCTCCCACAGCAGATCAGAAACACAGTTACTGACTCTCCCACAGCAGATCAGAAACACAGTTACTGACTCTCCCACAGCTGATCAGAAACACAGTTACTGACTCTCCCACAGCAGATCAGAAACACACAGTTACTGACTCTCCCACAGCAGATCAGAAACACACAGTTACTGACTCTCCCACAGCAGATCAGAAACACAGTTACTGACTCTCCCACAGCAGATCAGAAACACACAGTTACTGACTCTCCCACAGCAGATCAGAAACACACAGTTACTGACTCTCCCACAGCAGATCAGAAACACACAGTTACTGACTCTCCCACAGCAGATCAGAAACACAGTTACTGACTCTCCCACAGCAGATCAGAAACACAGTTACTGACTCTCCCACAGCAGATCAGAAACACAGTTACTGACTCTCCCACAGCTGATCAGAAACACACAGTTACTGACTCTCCTACAGCAGATCAGAAACACAGTTACTGACTCTCCCACAGCAGATCAGAAACACAGTTACTGACTCTCCCACAGCAGATCAGAAACACAGTTACTGACTCTCCCACAGCAGATCAGAAACACAGTTACTGACTCTCCCACAGCTGATCAGAAACACAGTTACTGACTCTCCCACAGCAGATCAGAAACACAGTTACTGACTCTCCCACAGCAGATCAGAAACACAGTTACTGACTCTCCCACAGCTGATCAGAAACACAGTTACTGACTCTCCCACAGCAGATCAGAAACACAGTTACTGACTCTCCCACAGCAGATCAGAAACACACAGTTACTGACTCTCCCACAGCAGATCAGAAACACACAGTTACTGACTCTCCCACAGCAGATCAGAAACACACAGTTACTGACTCTCCCACAGCAGATCAGAAACACACAGTTACTGACTCTCCCACAGCAGATCAGAAACACAGTTACTGACTCTCCCACAGCAGATCAGAAACACAGTTACTGACTCTCCCACAGCTGATCAGAAACACACAGTTACTGACTCTCCCACAGCAGATCAGAAACACACAGTTACTGACTCTCCCACAGCAGATCAGAAACACAGTTACTGACTCTCCCACAGCAGATCAGAAACACAGTTACTGACTCTCCCACAGCAGATCAGAAACACAGTTACTGACTCTCCCACAGCAGATCAGAAACACAGTTACTGACTCTCCCACAGCAGATCAGAAACACAGTTACTGACTCTCCCACAGCAGATCAGAAACACAGTTACTGACTCTCCCACAGCAGATCAGAAACACACAGTTACTGACTTTCCCACAGCAGATCAGAAACACACAGTTACTGACTCTCCCACAGAAGATCAGAAACACAGTTACTGACTCTCCCACAGCAGATCAGAAACACACAGTTACTGACTCTCCCACAGCTGATCAGAAACACAGTTACTGACTCTCCCACAGCAGATCAGAAACACACAGTTACTGACTCTCCCACAGCAGATCAGAAACACACAGTTACTGACTCTCCCACAGCAGATCAGAAACACAGTTACTGACTCTCCCACAGCTGATCAGAAACACAGTTACTGACTCTCCCACAGCTGATCAGAAACACAGTTACTGACTCTCCCACAGCAGATCAGAAACACACAGTTACTGACTCTCCCACAGAAGATCAGAAACACACAGTTACTGACTCTCCCACAGCTGATCAGAAACACAGTTACTGACTCTACCACAGCAGATCAGAAACACAGTTACTGACTCTCCCACAGCAGATCAGAAACACAGTTACTGACTCTCCCACAGCAGATCAGAAACACACAGTTACTGACTCTCCCACAGCAGATCAGAAACACACAGTTACTGACTCTCCCACAGCAGATCAGAAACACAGTTACTGACTCTCCCACAGCAGATCAGAAACACAGTTACTGACTCTCCCACAGCAGATCAGAAACACACAGTTACTGACTCTCCCACAGCAGATCAGAAACACACAGTTACTGACTCTCCCACAGCAGATCAGAAACACAGTTACTGACTCTCCCACAGCAGATCAGAAACACACAGTTACTGACTCTCCCACAGCAGATCAGAAACACACAGTTACTGACTCTCCCACAGCAGATCAGAAACACAGTTACTGACTCTCCCACAGCAGATCAGAAACACACAGTTACTGACTCTCCCACAGCAGATCAGAAACACAGTTACTGACTCTCCCACAGCAGATCAGAAACACACAGTTACTGACTCTCCCACAGAAGAACAGAAACACAGTTACTGACTCTCCCACAGCAGATCAGAAACACACAGTTACTGACTCTCCCACAGCTGATCAGAAAAACACAGTTACTGACTCTCCCACAGCAGATCAGAAACACAGTTACTGACTCTCCCACAGCAGATCAGAAACACAGTTACTGACTCTCCCACAGCAGATCAGAAACACACAGTTACTGACTCTCCCACAGCAGATCAGAAACACAGTTACTGACTCTCCCACAGCAGATCAGAAACACAGTTACTGACTCTCCCACAGCAGATCAGAAACACACAGTTACTGACTCTCCCACAGAAGATCAGAAACACACAGTTACTGACTCTCCCACAGCTGATCAGAAACACAGTTACTGACTCTACCACAGCAGATCAGAAACACAGTTACTGACTCTCCTACAGCAGATCAGAAACACAGTTACTGACTCTCCCACAGCTGATCAGAAACACAGTTACTGACTCTCCTACAGCAGATCAGAAACACAGTTACTGACTCTCCCACAGCAGATCAGAAACACAGTTACTGACTCTCCCACAGCTGATCAGAAACACAGTTACTGACTCTCCCACAGCTGATCAGAAACACAGTTACTGACTCTCCCACAGCAGATCAGAAACACAGTTACTGACTCTCCCACAGCAGATCAGAAACACAGTTACTGACTCTGCCACAGCAGATCAGAAACACAACAGTTTTTATATCATTACTATTATTATTATTGGTCAAAGATTCTTCATATCAGGAACTGCTAATCAGTGACTGATAATTCACTAGTAACTTTGTCACTTGTCACTTTACCTGTCATCAGTACTACTGCAGTACTACATATCTGATATTTACTGTTATCAGTACTACTGCATTATTACATATCTGATATTTACTGTCATCAGTACTACTGTATTATTACATATCTGATATTTACTGTTATCAGTACTACTACAGTATTACATATCTGATATTTACTGTTTTCAGTACTACTACAGTATTATCCATCCATCCATCCATTTTCTTCCGCTTTATCCGTTGCCGGGTCGCGGGGGCAGCAGTCTAAGCAGAGACGCCCAGACTTCCCTATCCACACACACCTCCTCCAGCTCGTCCGGGGGGACCCCAAGGCGTTCCCAGGCCAGCTGAGAGACATAGTCCCTCCAGCGTGTCCTAGGTCTTCCCCGGGGCCTCCTCCCGGTGGGACGTGCCCGGAACACCTCCCCAGGGAGGCGTCCAGGAGGCATCCGGAACAGATGCCCGAGCCACCTCAACTGGTTCCTCTCGACGTGGAGAAGCAGCGGCTCTACTCCGAGCTCCTCCCGTGTGACTGAGCTCCTCACCCTATCTCTAAGGGAGCAGCGGCTCTACTCCGAGCTCCTCCCGTGTGACTGAGCTCCTCACCCTATCTCTAAGGGA